GGGCCCGTGGTCCTCGCGGCTGCGGGCAGGGGCCTCCCGCTCCGGCGCCGCCTCAGCTGAGAGCTGAGAAGGCTGTTCCAGCCGGACACCTGCCCCTCACTCCCCCTTCAGCCGAACACCCTCCACGTTTGTCCAAGTAGGAAGGTTGAGCTTGCATTTGAGCGTTTTTACTTTAATCCCACTCTTCTTTCTCCGCCTCTTTAGTTGTCTCTCCCTTTTGACTGCGACAGGCCTGTGCCGTGACGTTTTCTGTTTAGCCGGACTGCGACACCCGTGAGCCCGATACTCACACCGCGGGCGGACTTCAGTTCCTTTCAATTTGATTGGAAAATGCCGTATTTTCTACTGGCCGCGGGTGCTGTGAGGAGCAAGGGCTTTTCGAGCAAACGCAGAGGAAAGGAGGGGTTCGCTTCTAGGCTGGGGAAATGGAGGCAGAGTGCGGTGGGTGGTTCTCCTCCCCACGTTGCCGGAAAGACGAAGAGCAGAGCCAGGCTGAGCCCCCGGAACTCGCTGGTTAGCTTTGACGCCGTGTCACCATCTGGGCCATTGCTTCTTTGCCTTGAGCATTTATAAGGAAAGTGGGGTCCAGGAGACTAAAGGAGCAGTTGAATGAGGTTGGGAGGGACACTGCAGCTAGAGAGGACAGACCTCAAGTTACACCGCTGCTGATGTCAATGAGTCGTGAAAACTGACCAGCTGGGCTTTTCAGTGAGTCTCCACCCCCGGGTTCCTAATCCCCTCCCTCATCCGAAAATGAGAGGCATCTGAATGGGTCATCTTCAAGTGTCCTTTAATTTAAAGTCTCACCTTCCCAAACAAAATGGACGGAACGTTCTCTACCCACTCATGTTAGGAGCTTTGTCTTCTTCTGTCTGACTTTCCAGTGGTTCTCTGGTTCAGGATGCAGGGAGGGCGTGTTCGACACCCCTTCTGGCCGGGAAGCTGGGATGCGGGGCTCTGGGAATGGGAGAGAGTGCCTCTTTGATTCTATCAGTCATCACATTAGATCTTTAACTGAATCATGTATCCGCACAGGTGGATTAAGCACAGGATTCGTTTCTATAAGTTTACGTCTTGCCTGAACTGAATGCTATGGACAAAATGTTCATCTCCCCCCCACAAATGCATATGCTGGAGCCTAAGTTAAACCCCCACTGTGACGGCACTAGGAGGAGGGGCGTTCGGGAGGTGATGAGGTCATGAGGGTGGAGCCCTCGTGGTGGGGTTAGTGCCCTTCTAGGAAAAGAGATGAGAGATGATCTTTCTTTTCCCCACCCTGTGAACACAACGAGAAGAATGCCTTCCAAAATCAGGAAGTGGGCTCTCATCAGACACCAGGTCTGCTGGCGCCTTGATCTTGGATTTCCCAGCCTCCAGAGCCGTGAGAAATAAACGTTTGTTGTATGAGCCACGCAATCTGGGGTGTTCTTGGAGTAGCAGTCTGAGCTGACTAAGACACTGAGTCATTCAAGGTGTGGATTCTTTTTCCTTTCTTCCAGCTACCCTGAATGGATACAAACAATGCTGGCATTACATTCGCAGGGCTCTTGGAACCATAAACACAGGCTACAACTAAAATAAACAGCAAATAAACTAACACAGCTAAGCACATACTCAGACCATGTCCTGGTGTGCCTCCAGCCGGCATCCACAGCACCTGCTCCCTCTGGTGCAGGGACTGCAGAGGGAACGTTCCCAGCCCTGCCTGGGGTCCATCAGTCCAGCTGGGCTCCTGCTGGCGTTTGGCAAAACTTAGTCTCTGTTCCTTGAAGTGCATCAGCCTCAGTGGCCCCTGCATTCTGCTCCCGTGTTCTAAACCAGACCACCTCGCACCCCAGCTTTCCCAGTGATCTGCCTCCTCTTTTGCTGAGAAAACTGCAGGAGGCACTCCCTCGTTGACTGTGCCGCGTCATCTTTGTGCCCACTGTCTTCCAAGCCTAACCGTCCCCCTTCATCCAGGCTCTGCCCTTCTCACTCCATCCGGGCAGTTGTCTCCATGACTCCCCTCCTAGACTCTCCAGACTTTATTCCCCAGAGGTTCCCCCTCTTGGGTTCAGATACGCTTCCAGAAGTCTCCTCCCATCCGAGGCTTTTGTTCCTGGCCAGGCCCCCCTTGGGGCATCCATCTTCTCTTTTATTTCAGTTTCAGGGAAGTGCTCATGGTTGGTGTTTGAAACCTCATTTTTACTTTCACCTCCTAGTCCGTTGCTGAGCTCATCAAATTCAGCTTCTGTCTCCATCACGTTAAACTGTGTCTCAGACATCACGTTACCATTTCTGATGTCTGGTTCCAGTGATGGGTGTCTCCAACCCTACTGCATGACGCTTTGGGCCTGTTCCTCTTTTTTTTGAAATGTTGGATCCTTTTGCATCTCTTATGTGATTCGAAATTTTTTACCCCTGGTCTCCTTTACTGAATGTGTCTCCTCCTACCATCCTGTGGACTTCCCCCAGGCTCACACTTGACCTCTACCCCGTCCACTCCCCTCTCGCCCCGTCAGCAGCCTCACCCACTTCAGGGTTTTAGCATCTGGCTCTGCGTAGATGTCTGAGGGCGCTTCCTTTTCAGCCTTCTGGCATCACCTCAAACTCAGGAATAAAAGCAAACTTTCCATCCTCAAAGTGTCTGTGTTTATGTTACAGGGATCTGGGACCTGGGAGGAAAGGAAGACGTTCTAGCACAATCTTTTTCCATTTTGATTGTTGCAAAGGTGGAAACGTGTGTGTGTGTCCTGGGTACATTTCCTAGGCCAACTCAAAATTAATTTTTATTGACACGGAGTCCTTCCTGAAAGTTCTCTGTTAATCACATTATTTTTCTCAAAACAACAGCTGTGTTTGTGTAAGAGAAAGCCCAGCGTTCTGATTGCTCACGGGGACTTCCTGGTTATATAAGTCGCAAATCACAGTTTATTGATGCATCAGTTAAATCAGTTCATTGTACCACAGGTACAAAATTCGTTATAAACACATTTTAGTGGGCTTTTTTTTTGAAATGAATAAATTTTATTCAAAATGTAGAGAGGTGAGGTAGAAACCGTAATACTGCAGACACTTGAGAGTGAATGTCTGCGTGGCAGGCCTGCCCGGGTTCATCCTGGGACGTTCCCCACTGGAAGTCCGCTCGGTCATTTCAGAAGCGAAGATGCCGTAAGCTCTCCAAAGGCACTGGAAATGCTCAAGTCCAGTGGTCTGCTCTGAAACAGTCCTCTGCAGGGGAAGGCAGAACCAGTGCAAAGCCTGAAGGCTCAGCTCCAATGGGAAGTGTATTTGCTTTTACAGGAAGCCCAAGAATATTCTAGAAACCAAAAGTTCTCCTGCGTAACTTGGAGGCAACTACGTACCCTTTCGATCTCATCATCAGCCTGGCCTGGAAAACTAAATAGCACTTTGAGACCCTGTGTGAAAACAGGCTAAAACGTCGTATCTCGTTGAAGCACAGGCACGTTTTAAACTGTCCGTGCACGTTGTCCCGCGGGAGAAAACGCTTCACGGCAAACACGGCCACTTACTCCTTTGACGAACCCTGAGTGGGCGCCGACTGCGCGGAGGGACACCGCGGCCGCGCTGGCCGCCCTGGCGCTCATGTTGCAGGTGACTAGTTACCAAAGACAGACAGCAGGCGGTCCTTACAAAGGTTCAGGGGAAAATGAAAACGTGGGCGGGGAGGGGTTTAGAAAGGAACAGACTGCTTTCAGCCTGTGTGGAAGAGGTGCTGACATTGGATCCGGGCCCTGCCGGACGGGTAAGGCCGCCGGGAGAAAGCGCCTAGCAGTATGTTATGTAGGAACTTACTTATTCGTCCTGAAAATGCCAT